GACCTAGTAATGGATCTAATATAGTTTTTGCACTTCATGTCAGCCGAGAACTTTAGCCTGAGAAGGTGCAACAAGTCACTCTCTTGGAGTTTAGCATCAGCCATACTGATAGAAGACAGAAAGAGGTCTCTCAGATGATTAATAGAGTTTAGTTTTGAAGGAATTAAAATTAACAAGACATTCCTTGCCTTGGTTAACAACAGACTGAAGGTCACTTTAAATATCCGCTGCCAATTTGACTATATTAGACTGATCAAACGTACTGTTAAGACAGGAATGAATAGTTGTGTTATCAGTATAGATACCAAGTTGAGAGCTGAGGTCATCAGGAAGGTCATTAATGAAAGCTAAAAACAGAGTAGGACCAAAGATGGGAGCTCTGGAGGACATCAACATTAGTACGAAAGAATCTAGAAGAGTAGCTGTTCAGGATAACTTTCATTTCATGATTTGAGAGGAAAGAATGAATCAGTTCTTGAATTTGTTAGGAGACTCCATAACTTTTCAACTTAGGGAGAAGAACTGTATGGCAAACCCTGTTGAAAGCTTTTGAAATGTCCAAAGCTACAGCCAGGGCTTCATCATTCTTATCTAGAGCTTGGTAGACTCTTTTGTCAACTATTGTCAGTACATCAGTACTTGACCTGGAGAAATGAAAGCCATATTGCTTTTCTGAAAAAAAAAAAGGTACTGTGATGTGAGATGCTTAACCAAAAACTTCAATATATCTTACTTTCTCTAGACATACTTAAGGCTATATATGAATTACTTCTTAGTGGCTAGCTGTCTCTCTAAAAAGAAAAAATGTACCCACTTTTACTTGAAACCCCAACCACATTTATTAATATTTGTAAAGTGAAAGAGCCACCCACCAACCTCTTATTTGATACCTACCCTGTTTATTCAAGAGTTAAAAGCCAGACAATTTTTCTCACCAGAATCTTACACATTTATAAGTCTACCACTCATACACACATTGAATATTGTTTCCATATCTGATTTGGTGCTTTTGCTATGCATTTAGATGTTCTTGATAAAATACAAAAGAATCTGCAATATTATTGGTCCTGACCTGGCATCTCAGCTTCAGACACTTTCCCATCTCTGTAACATAGCTTCCTAGTGCCTTTTCTAGAAATATTTTAATGATAATTTATCTGATGCGCTTTCTGTGGTAACTAGATTTTATGAATGTAAATGTATTACTAGATCTGTGACAAGGTCTCTTCATTTTACAGCTGAAATGGCTAGATACAACTGTAAGTTCTATGCTAACAGTTTCTTCTCTTGCACTTCTCACTTGTGGAACACTCTTCTGGTTTCTTGCTTTTCTGGTCAAATTTGAACTTTAAAAATTTAAATGCAATATCAGTCATTGACTTTTGCTTTTATTCTTTTTCTTTTACTGTTGTCTCTCTCTTTAATAATGTTTTCTTTTTCTCATGTTCTCTCACACTCGGTGATTTCTTGCATTTAGTGGCTTTATTGCCTTGCTTGCTGTGAAATTATTAGTAAAACAAAATATGATTCAGTAAAATAAGGACAAGCTGCCACTCACAACCCAACTCACCATTAGAAAATCGACAACTGGGATAAACCTTCTAGTACATATTTGGTCAGTTCTTGTCCAAAATTCAGCTATGGAATTTTCTTAATCTTTTATTACTACCCTCCTTCCTGCCTTGGGGTCAACAATTTAGCTAACACTGCTGATATGTGACTGGATAATAAAGTCATCAGAATCCTTTTCCTGATCTTGTTCCTTTACACATACACAAATCAACTCATAACCGGACACCTGAAAGAAACTTGTTCCCCATAAATATAGGGACACATAATGTAAAGTGTGAGTCTTCCACAGATGTAGCAAAGAGAGAAAGCAGTTATACTACTACCTTATGACCCAACATTCACTCAGACTCTTTTACTTGTCATATCTAGGAAGAACTCCTGTCTTACCTCTGGCCAATTAATTCCCAACAATGTTGTTATAATAATCAGATGTTAGGCTCCACCCCATAAAAAAGCAAAGTAGTTGAAGGACAGAAATAAGCCAAGTGACTAGACCAGTTTATTAATACTGCATTAAATAAGCCTTTCCTTGGTCAGGATTGTAAAAAGGAAGGTAAGGACAGCCAGAATCTTAATAACATAAGATATGCAGATGACGCCATCTTCAGTGTCAGACTCATGTCTAAAAATATGGCTTGCTAGAAGAAAAAAATGTACATCCACAATTACAATGTTATCATTTAACTTTTGTAATGGATAAATAAAATTGTTTAAAAATACATATCGATAAAAGGGTACAGTTCAAATTTTTGTGTAAAAAATGTCTATATCTTATTAATTACAGTGTACATGTATTGTATACTTTACTGGAAGTAGATACCAAATGTAAATACAGAATGTTATAATTGAATTTTTTATTTACTTTTTAACTTTAGGTAATTGGTTGATATTTTTAAATTGTTTACTGCACAATTTACACATTAATAGTCCAAAAGCTCAATAGAGAATTGCATGCAATCTACTATATATTAAGACCCATCATTTATATTTACTCAATGGTTGTGCAAATCTGCCAACAATTGCTTCTGAATCCAATTCATCTACCAATTCCTTTTCGTTGGATAGCAACTTGTATGATTTCAAATTCTCCTCAGACAGCAAATTTCTTAACCATGTTTTTATGATCTTTAGCTTTGAAAATGTCCTCTCACATTGGACTTGAGTAACTGATAGTGTGCAGATTACTTTATAAAGTTTTTATTACCAAAACAGTTGTCTGTGTTGGTTTCATTATTATATTTATGTTTCATATAGGAGACCTACTCCATCAGGAGCCCACTTGCTATCCAGCAAGCTGACACTCTGTGCAGTCTGCCAATGAGAGTGTTGATAGCAGACACAAAAAGGAAATTACAAGAACTCTTACAGAAGGTAGTGAAAGAAAGTGAAAAGATAAGATCAACAGAAATCAGAGGATTTCATTAGAAACAAAGAAAAGAGTACTGAACTGTTATGTAACATCAGTCCTCCTACATGGTAGAGAATGCTGGACAATCTCCTTACAGATGAAGAAAAGACTTGAAGCAAAAGAAGCAGGATTCTACAGAAGATGCTTAAATACCATCAACCAAACATATGAGCCATGACAAATCTTTAGAGAAAATGGAAACAAAAAGACACTTATACTTAACATCAGAAAGAAAGAGTTGAAATTTCTAGGGCACATAATAAAGAAAGAGGGCTTGGAAAATATGATACTCATAGGACATATTGAAGGCAAGAGAAAGACAATGTGTAATCTACCTAGAACAGAACACGATTTAGGTGAGATAGCAAAAAAGACAAAATTTATTATGTACTACAAATACAGGAAATTGTGAAGCGTCATGATGGCCTCATCCTGAAGGGAAATGGTACATTGAAGATAGGGAAAAAGTTTTAGCCAATAAATTTAGAGTAGACATGAGCTTGCATGTCTTGGTTATTCATTGATAATTAGACAGTTTAGTCCAGGCAGTGTTGAATCAGCTTCAACCAAACCTGGCAAAGGAAAAGGATGGCAAATAAATTTCTGTAGCTTTTAGTACAGAGCAGATTGGGTGATAATTTGACAGCCACATCTCAAATCAACAATCATATCATATAATATTTATCAATGTGTACTTATATATTTCCTGTCCCAGCTTAGTGGAAAGGGAGGAAAATCAGCTCAAGTTAGTAAATTTAGGAGTGATTATTTCCATTAGTCATTTTAATAATCTATACAAATAAAATATATATATGCACCATTTAATTAATCAGTTCCTTTATTCTCATGTTTCTTAGATTGTAGTTTTATTTTGTTCAAGCCTTTAATATCAGGCACTCAAATATCTTTGTCTATTAAGTGATCATCTTGCTTCAATTTGGTGTTGAAATAGGCTTTGTTGTTGCCATCTTTGTCTTTCTGTTGCTAATCTTTTTCTTCCAAGAGATATTACACTGTTATAGTAAACACATAACAATTTTAACATGCAAAGATACTGAACATAAAAGCAATTTATATATTACCAGTAGTAATCAATGAATCATAGATACCATTGAATGACTACAAAATATAAAGGGAATGGATTAGTTAAATGGTTCATTGGCCGCAATTCTATTATTAATTCATTATCTCCACTTTATTGAATCTCAATATAGTGTTTCACAATTTTTGTGCAGAAACTTGATGTGGCATCAGAATATCTTTGGAGAGATATTGAACATTCCATTTCAACAGTTGTTGACAATTCCCTAGTATTTGTAGATGCGGGATCTTGCATTTGAATAGGTCTCTCCACTACATCTCATAAATGCTTAATTGGGCTCAAGTTTAGTGAATGTGGGTGGAAGTCTCTATAATGGTGTGGCCACCACATTTACATGACTTGAGACCAATCAAGTATTTATAAGATATAAAGAGGAATTTCCTCTGTGCTTATTTTTAGGTGGCATTAGGAGTGTTCAGTTTTAATCAGCTTCATTCAAAAAGATCACTTAATTGCAACAGCTGACATATTATTATTATGGCATATTTTTAATATATTTTTTTATTGGAGAAATTGGTGTAATTCTATTTATTGATTTTGAACATCAAAGGATGAAGAAAATAAACAATGTTTGACTTTGAGCAAAGTCTTCTCAATTCAGTAATCACAATGTAGAATGATTGATTGATTCATTTTTTATGGCTTACCAACCCTTTGCAGGTTATTTAAAGCCAGAAAATATTTTTAAATTGTAAGAATTTGTCTTTATTTTTTTTTTTTTTTTACGCAATTTTATTTTTTTGGAGATAATAATTATTTAATGATACAAATCTTACTAATTAACCTGTAACTGAGGAAGTAGAGGTAGTTTTATACCTTTCCCAAAGGAATTTGTGCGTAAGTGAAAATAACGAACACAACTTAAATTGGAATTATGTTCTTCAATTATCAATTCCATCCATTATCCATTACACTATCTGCACCTGGTATTCCCAAACGGTCACCCATGTAAGTACTGACCAAGCTCAATGTTGCTTAACTTTGGTGATTGTATGGGAACATGATATGACCATAAGACCCACATTGTAGAATGAACAGATTGGTCAAATTTGTCATTCTCACTTGTGTATACATTCCCAGTTTTGTGAGTTGTTCTAAACTGTTTGATACAACCATGGCATTGGGTTTTATATAGTATGATAGCATATAAGACCCAATTTTGGAATCTCCAATAATGGCTAAAAATATCCTCAGGTCATATTTCAAACATTGCCGCCACAACTGGTCTGGTGCTTCTGCTATATACCTAGAGATTCTTGATAAAAAACAAAGAAGAATCAGCAATGTCATTAGTCCTGATCAGGCATCTTGGCTTCAGTCATTTCCCCCACTACAATAGCATAACTTCATTTTGCTTCTTCTATAAATATTCCCACAATTGTTCTGATGAGCTTTCCTCATCAATATCTCATCATCACAAATTCAAATGCTGTACTAGATTAGCAGCAAGGTCACATCATTTTACTGCTGAAATTGCTAAGTGTAAGTTCTATGCTAATGGTTTCTTCACTCACACTTGTGGAACTTTCTTTTTCCTCTTGTATTCTGTTCTTTCTGTTTCTTTCACTCTCAGAAACCTGGTGAGAGTATTACCTTGCTTGGAGTGAATTGATTAACAAAAATGAGAAATTGAAATTAGATGCTTGCCTGGAATTACATTAAAGTTTTGTTTTTTGTTGTTTAATGTGTTTGCAGCCAAAGAACATTGATTAACATTTTCACTATACTATTTGCTAAGTGTCAAATGACACAAATTATGAACTTCCCCTTTTTGAAATTCATGCTTTGTTGTTATTTTATCCTCCACACAATGCTATGATTTGCACCTATTTTCCAATGATGCTATTTAGTTTCTGGAGAATGACCATTGGTTGAATGATGAGGTGAGTATGAACAATGTTGGTCTTGAAGGTTTTCATATTCTATAAGAAAATAGAGAATGTCTTATATTCCATGA